AAAAGCAGAAAGGGCCAGGCAGTTACGGACTCATCCACAGTATGAGGTGGCAGCTGAGCTCCTGTTTGTTGTGAGAGGCCAGTTATGTGTGGAATTTGAAATGACAGATCCGACTCTAGGAGAATTGGCGTGGTGGATCCCCTGGCTATTTTAGGCCCTACCAGCTAAAGCGAGGGGTAAACAGTGTAGCTAGCCTGTGTGATGCCTTTGGTTTTTGTTCTCTCCTCCAGATGGGTGGAAACAGGACCCCCGAATCCTCCAGGATGCCCTAAAAATGTCCCAAGTTTGCACTGCCCTCTCCTCCAAGAAGGCGAAGAAAAGTTAAATCAGGTCCCACAGCTGACACAAAATTTTAGATAAACCAGAAAAATAAAAGTGTGGGGAGGTAACACTCCTGTGGTGACTTTTTCCAGTCTGGCTGCTGCCACAGTCCTCTCCACCCCCAGCATTCCAGCCTGGATCTTCTCTGGCAGCTGTAATGTTAACACTGCAAACACTGAATTTAACACTAGGAGCTTGAGTGACTGCACTGAGAGGAGGGGGACAAAAACAACTCAGTGGCTTTGTATTTTGTGGCTACTGCATATGGATGCATGGTAAAAATTGACATAACATGTTCAATACTTGTAATTTAATAAATGTCAGAGGAAACAACCTGATCGGGGGAAGCTGCAAATAAATGTGGGGCCAGCCAGTGGCATGGTGGTTAGGGTGGCTGGATTCCACATGGCCAACATCATGGTTCATGTCCTGGACCTGGCGGCTTGAAAAACGTACTGGGCACGTATGCATACATGCCTAAAATCCCAAGAGGAGAATGGAGAAAGGACTGTAGCATAGCTACCAACACTGGGGGTGAGGGATGGGGGAGAGGTGTGCTTTTTCCTTTCCCTCTCTTACTCTCTCAGGTGAGCACATGTACCCTATAAAATTAAAAAAATAATAATAAAAATTAAAAAAATAAAAAGGAGGAACTTGTCAGTGGGACAGGACTTCTCTTTTTGCTGCCAGTAGTGGGTTGAAATTTAAACTCTGAATACTGGCTATAGAACAAGCTCTGCAACTGATGGCTTCTGCTATAGAAGATGTGGATTTTTTGATTCTTGGAGCCTTTGGAAACAGAGAGTGAATTAAAAAAAAAAAAAAGAGGAAATCTACAGCTGGAGATAAGCTTTTAAAGTTAAAAAGACAGGTTTTAGTTTTCTAATGAGTTCTTAGGAAAGTGGAGGTTTGACCCTTCTAGGCTGATAATTTTTCCAGTCTGATGAGCCTATTTTTGAGTGGGTCAATTTGGACTCTAAGACTGACCAAAAGAAAAGCCTTAGGGAAGCCTTGCTTTATCACTTGAACTTTCTGCTCCTGCAGTGTCTTGCCTTTGCTTCGGTTAAAAAAAAAAAAAAAAAAGTCCCTTGCTTGCTCTAAATCCTGAATTTACAGATCTGAACAGCCTGGACTTGATTCTAAGCTACAACCCAATACTGTCTGGTATCGGCTTTCAGCCTCTTGGCATGAACCATGAGGAACTGAAGCAGGCAGTCTCAATGAACAGAACCCAGTCTGCAACCTTACCCACTGAAGACACCTCTCTGTGGGGCCCTAAACGGTGAAAAAATCACAAAGGCTTGGCTGGACTGTCTGGGTCACACACAAATGCCCAAAGGAAACCGCTTGCTGCTCTCTGATGGGACCACCTGAAATCCACGACTTGCTGTATATCCTGACACAGACGGATGACATTCTTACTGCCGAGAGCAAGTTGGAAGAGGGTCCATCACAGGGACTGTGAACCCCTACTTGCTTCCCACAGGTTGATGTGTTCCCAACCCTGCCTGGAGCAGGTCTCAGTCTCACTGCTGTGGTATCCTGTGTCTGGCTGTCCCAATGGTGCAGTTTGCACCAGCAGATGTACAACCCAATTCTGCATCCCTCACACTTCCTTGCTACACACGCCTCTGTGCAGTGTGCTTGTCTAGTGTGGCTGTCCTGAGAAAGAGACTGCTCTTTTAGAGGCTGTTCACAGATGATCAGGAGCAGGGATCCATTTGAATCCATTTTGAACATTTTTAAAAAGATTTCACCCTGATCAGTTCCTGAAAGTGATGTCTTTCTGGTATAAACATGTTTTTCTGCAAAGGTGGTTTGCCCCTCTGGCACACAACCCCTCCAGACCAAAGGTCTGGGTGAGAGAAACAGACTGAAAAAAATTTAAGATTTCTGAATGGAAACACCGATTTTGTAACAACTGAGAAAATATCTTTTGTAATAAATAGGTAAACACAAGTGTTCTCCCGAGCCCTTTGAGGCACTCTAGCAAATTAATTGAACCCAAGGTGGTGGTTGTGGAAACTTAGAACAGGCAAAACCACCTGCGGTTTGTGATTGGCATCTGAAGTGGGGGTAATCTTGCAGGGTTGGGCCCTCAACCTGCAGAATACAACACTAACTTCAAGAAGAAAGTGTGAGAAATGAGTTAAATTAGAGGACAAACAGCCGGTGTCAGCTGAAGAATTTGCTGCCCGACTGTTTGCTTGATGTGTGGAGAAATATCCCCACAAGCCAACTGTCAGAAGGGGTGGCTGAGTAAGGGTTTTGGTTTTTCCTATAATCTCAACAATGCTCAAAATATAATGCAAAGCAAAAATATATATATATATTCAAACAAACAAATATGTTCACTGGTCTCTTCTGGAACTGGCTAGGGCTCCAAATTATTTGAAAATATTTCAAGGGAAAGAATAAATAATGTATCCTGCTTTAGCTGTATATACTGTGTTTTAGGGTAAATTAACAAGGGAAGAGGCCAGCAGGTGGTATGGTGGTTAAGGTGCTGGACTCCCACATGGCTGGCTGAAATTCGAGTTCCAGACCTGGAGAACTGCTTTCCCATTTTTCCCTTTCTCTCTTTCTCTCCTTTTTCTGGTCAAATTAAAAAATAATAATAAATAAAAGTAAATAAGTTATATTAAAAAAATTGACAAGGGAAAGTTCTTAAAATTCCAGGTAACAAATGTAGGAGGAATGATGGAATTAGAAAGTCAACACTTTGCAAGCCCTAATGAAATACAGAATCCAAACACAAATGGTTGCCAAAACCTCTAGGTAGAAAGTCAGTGAGGAACTTAATAATAGTTGGATTTTGCTGAAATGATCTAATTCATCAATCTCAGCAACACCAAAAGTGGGACAATCAGGCACTATACACCTCCCAATGTAATGTATTAAGAAGTATAAAATGCCACTCATGAGATATTCTCAGTAAAAAGGTAGGGCCAAATCTTCCTAAGCCTCCAGAGCTAACGTCCAGTTAATATACAGCAGATAGTGGAACAAGCTAAATGATATTATAAGGATACCACCAGCTAGATACAAAATGTGGGAAATTACATAGCACTAAAGACATTATTTCCTCAACAAATAAAATGACACTTAAAAAATAAGGGGGGATGAGGCCCTGGACTTCCCCCACAAGACCGACCACGGTTCAAATCCTGGACCTGGCAGCTTGCTTTCTTATTCTCCCTTTCTCTCTGGTCAAAATATAAGAATGATGATAGTAAATGAAATAAAAAATAAGTTTTTTTTAAAGAGTAAAAAAGAGAAAAAAAGAAAAAAAAAAAAAAAAAGGAGGGCAAACTTAAGAGAAACCTAAGATCTCAACCAGAATACTGACTCAAAGCAATTATAAAAACACCTGAAACAAATTTGAACAGATGCTGGGTATCAGGTGACAAATAATATCTAATTTTGTTGAAAAAACAATCTCACTTTTAGAAACAAATACATACGTTTAAAAACAAGTGGAATTTTCTTTAAAATAAACTAGGAGAAGAAAAAAGGGTAAATGTGTGTGGGATAGTGAAGAAAATATGCTGGTGTGTGTGCACACGTGTGCACCCCAAATTCTGGCAGGATGGAGAACTGGAGCAGAGACTGTAGTGTGACCGTGTTCCACTAAGGAATACTTTCTCTCCCTCTCTCTCACTCTAGCAAGTGCATGTGCCTTCTGGCAATACAAAAAAAAAAGAATTTTTTTAAAAAGAGATTTTTGCTAAAGGGTGTGTGCGCTCACCAGTGAAAGAAAGAGAAAGAGACAGAGAGACAGAAAGCAAGAGATCACCTCCCAAGGGGGATGACCACACTACAATCCCTTCTACTCTCTATTCTCCTCTTGGGATTCTGAGCACACACACACACATGCCTGTGTGAGTTTTAAGCCACTGGGTCTGGACTTCAAACCATTACACCACCTGCTGGTCCCACGAAAAAAGGAAATTCACGCGTAGTTTTTTAAAAAGTGAGCTTTTTAAAGGATAGGTATTTAGCACACTCTCATGAGAAATAAAAGTAGAGGCATCAATGTATTAAGATGATGTAAGTTAAAAGTTAACATAATTTCAATTGAAGAGGGATAATAAAATTACCTAGGATGACTGAAAGTGTTACTGTAGTAAAAATCCTAATTCTGAAAATAACCAAAACAGCATGGTAGAATCATTTTTCCTGAGTATCTATTTTGTGTGATACTCTGACATACTCTTTTAAAAAATCTTCTCAGAGGGGTCAGCAGGTGGTATGGTAGTTAAGGGCGCTGGACTCTCGCATGGCCAATCATGGTTCGGGTCCCAGACCTGGTGGCTTGCTTTCTCACTGCCCCTACCCCCCAACTCTGTCCCTCTCTGGTCAAATTAAAATAAATAAAAAGTTAAAAAAAAATTCTCAGAAATAAATTTACTTACATACTGGAGTCCAAAAAGAAATGTTAGGTTAGTAACATTACAAATGTAACTTTGTCTACTGAATTTAGCTTACAGAACTTGGGTCAAATCTGTTAGCTGAGGATTTTAATATATGAAAATCTAGAAAATTCCATAAACTAGACTATACAGTATATGTGGCTAATAACGAGTAAAACCAGCCTCCTAAAGCACTTTCAATAAGCTTTAAAATTTCAGTTGTCTCCTTTCTAAGTCAGGTAAAAGCAAAGAAAATGCCCAGACTACCTGGTTTCCGTACTTTCTTTGATTCTTCATAGTCCTTGTTTTCTGGATTTGGAGAGTCTAGAAAATTGATTTCTTCTGGGACACCTTCACCTTCCTGGCTCTTGAGGCTATCTTCTTCTTGAACAGAGGGTTCCAATTCTGATTCTTCTGCATCAAGAAATATCTGACCAGCGACGACTCTGCCTGCAGTGGTAGGGCCTTTGACTGATTCATCTGATGGCAAAGAAGTCTAAAAATAAAGTGTATTTTTAGTGATTAACAGTACCAAGACTCCCCCAATCTAATTTGATCGATACTTTCCTAACGCAATATCACCTCCTTTAGCTCTGTAAGTGCTGTGGGCTGTGGTGAGTGTTCATCACATGCCTTTATCACCTAACTTACTTTCTTTGCATTTCAACTTGAATGTTACTTCCCCAGGAAGTCTTCATTTCTGAAATGAGATTACATTCTTCTCCTAAATGCTCCCCAAATACTTCATACTTCCCTTATGACAACCCTGTACTGTAACTTCCTAATTTTAATCCACATTTCCTCTAATCTACAGATCAGAGCTCATAACAAACTGATTCATCTCCTTGGATATGTAAAATTTAGCCTTATTTATCCAATCAACCAATGAGTGCATTAATTCATTAATATTTTCCCTTTAAAATTGATATAAGTGAAAACAAAAGGCAGAGGTTAAGTCTTCAAAATGAAAAGATATTTAATCCCCTCCCCCAAATAAGAACAAAATCAATCTCTCATTAGGTCATAAAAATGTTACTACCATGAGGTTCTCTCTCCCTCCCCCCCTCCCCCCCCTCTCTCTCTCTCTCTCTCTCTCTCTCTCACACACACACACACACACACACACACACACACACACACCCCACAAGTTAAAATCAACTCTAATTAGTCAACACATTTTAATGGAATATTTTCTATTCTTTCTCTTGTAGGTCAGTAATCCCACCCCCCAAAGTCTAGAACTAATAGTGTTTCAGCCTATGTTTTTCTATTAAGCTTAATTCTGTAAATCAAAAGATGAATATTTTATATCCTTTCTTTTTTTTCGGAGAGGTTTTTGCTATAGGGCGCATGCACTTGCCAGACAGACAGAGAGAGACAGAGAGACAGAAAGCGAGAAAATCACCCCCCGGGGGGATGGCCACGCCGCAATCCCTTCTCTTCCAGTCTCCTCTCGGGATCTTGGGCACGGACGCACGCACGCACACACACGCACCCAGCGTGAGTTTAAGCCACCGGGTCCAGAAGGTGAACCACAGTTGACTACGTGGGAGTCCAGCGACATAGCCATGATGCTAACTGCTGGTCTCAAGATTTTATATCCTTTCTAAGGTACATAATTCATGCCCAATTTGAAAGTGGATAACAAATACCAGCCAATGCAAACTTTAGTACATACCTTGGAATCTAAAGATTCATCTTGGTTGCCTTCTTCATCTGTAATGAAATTTGAACATAATTCAGTCATCTTTCTTGTTGGGAAGTTAGTTATTAAAAGAAAGCATCTGATTAAGTACCAAAAATAATAAGCCTAGAATTATTTAAGACCTGGGTACAGTGGCACGTACCTGTAGTTCCAGCTACTCAGGAGTCTACCGTAGGAGGATCAAGACAAGTGAGATCCTGTCTTAAAAAATGAAAAAAACTAAAATAACCCCCTCCCCCACGCCTAGAATTGTTTAAAAATTGTACTTAGTGAGACCAGCAGTTGGCATAATGGCTATGTCACTGGACTACCATATGGTCAACTGCAGTTCGAGTCTCGGACTCAGTGGCTTAAACACACACTAGAGGTGTGTGTGTGTGCCCAAGATACCAAGAGAAGAATTGAGAAAGGATTGTGGTGTGGCCATCCCTCTTGAGAGATGATTTCTCTCTTTCTGTATTTCTGGCGAGTGCACACGCCCTATAGAAAAAAAAAAAAAAAGTACTTAGCAACCGTTCAGAAAGATTAAATGCAAGTAAAAAAGGGGGGGGGGGGGGTATGGGTGGTGGTTTTTCTTTTTCTAAGGATTACATTAGCTTCAACTGTTACTGAGGTTGGAAGAGCAATAGCTTCCACACCAAAAACATGTCTCTTTTCATATTCCATCCAACTCATCTGCACATTTAGTCTATTACTGAGAATGAGTTACGAAGTTTACAGAAATACATCTCCAATTTCATATTCCAGGCTATTCTGTTCCTCTGCTCAGGATCTAGAGTTATATGGGCTATTTAGAGAGATTTCTGCAATGGGCATGTGTACTCACCAGAGAAACAGAGACAGAAAAGAAATCATCCCCATGCTGCAAACCCTTCTCCTCCATTCTCCTCTCAGCATTTGGGGTACATGCACACCAGTGCCTGGCTTGAATTTCAAACCACCAGGTCTGGGACTTAATCGCAGTCGCTCATGTGGGAGTCCAAAGAAATAACCATTACACATCTGTTGGTCCCACATGGGCTTATTTTAATGCTAACTAGCATTCTGTTGTTTATAAGTACTACTAAGGATGAAAGCTAAGAATGGTTATTACGGTTTGACACCAGAGTTGCCAAATATATTTAAAATGTGTGTTCTAGTTCACTCAAGAGATAACCGAATACAAGTAAAAGTAACACCATGTATTCACTCATGTGAGAACTATTAAGAAATCAATAGTTTATATTAAATAATGAATCTAGGCCCTAGTTACATTTTACTCCCAAATCCATACAGGCTGCTATGGTTTTGTCTGATTACATCAATTTTCCTTCTGCTACTCTTCTATGTTTTCCAGCTACTACTCTTTTTTTTTAAAGATGTATTTATTTTACTTAACTTTGTTATTATTATTTATGTTTAATTTTCCCACAGAGAGAAAGAGAAGGGGAAAGTGAGAAAACAAGCTGCCAGGTCTGGGACTTGAACCACGGTCAGCTATGTGGGAGTTCAGCACTTTAACTACCACACCACCTGCCAGCCCCATTCAGTTATTACTTCTGACAGTTTGCTACTTCTTCCTGCCTCTTACACAAACACATGCAATAACCCAACATCCAGGTGCAATGTTTGATTTTTGTGTTCCTTGCTAGTTTGAAAACACAAAACTGTCAGATGACTTTTAAGTTTCTTTTCCCTCTTAAAAGCACCTGATTTTATCTAGAAGCAAGTTTCACCATTACCTACTCCTTAAGCTTATGAGAAATTAACCAGTAGACAAAATGCTGTAAGACCATGTGATTTTTACTAGAAAACCTGATACTATCATGCCATTTATCTTTACTTAATATTTATACCCTAAATATAATTTATAACTTACAACTCTCTAAAATATAATAAAAACATGGTTTATGTTTTGTTATTAAAGAACTGAGCTTACTTTAAAAAGTACACAAATACAAAACACTACTTCACAATATTTGTTATTTTTGAATATTTGAGAAAACCAGTCTCCCAGTGAGGTTTTGCTACTATACACACACACACACACATATAAAGTGCTGTCAATTAAAAGAAAATTTTAATTATAGCAATTATTCACATTTACTTGCTTTCAGATTACCTTCAAAGTATGTTTTATTTCTGAGAGGTGGGAGGAGAAAGATATAGCACATATTAGCCTCACAGTGCCCATAACATTTAGATAGTAATGTCAATTAACAGTCATCCTTCCTGTTAGTACCACCCAAAGCCTAAGCTCTTAATGGATAGTTCAAATTCTGTTCATAGCAAATCTTTGGATAAAGAAAAGAATTCAGGGGCCAGCAGGTAGTGTGGTGCTTAAGATGCTGGACTCTCATGTGGCTGAGCACAGTTTTGAGTCCTGGACTTGATGGCTTGCTTTCTCACTTTCCCTCTCTTTCTCTAGTGAGCACATGAGGTCTACAGCAAATTTAAAACATTGGGACCAGCAGTTAGCGTAATGGCCATGTCGCTGGACTCACATGTAGTCGACCGTGGTTCATGTCCTAGACCCGGTGGCTTAAAACTCACGCCGGGCGCATGTGAGTGCATGCCCAAGATCCCCAGAGGAGAACAGAGGAGAAGGGACTGCGGCATGGCCATGCCCCCTGGGGGGTGATTTCTCACTATCTGTCTGTCTCTGTGTCTGTCTGGTGAGTGCACGCACCCTATAGCAAAACTCTCAAAAAAAAAAAAAAAACCATAAAAAAAACCCACAACATAATAATAATTAAATAATTCTTTAAAAAGGGGAAAAAGTCATCTTTATTATATATTAAAGTTGTATGTGTAGATATAGTCAGTCACAAAACATCAATCAGTTACTATATCAAAAGTAGACATTAAATGAACAAATGTATAAGACATATTCCCAAATACTTGTGATTAGTTGGAACTCTAAATCATTAATCACTAAATCATTAAATTTAGACCATGGTCACATAGATGACTAGTAGGTAAAATAACACAGATGCTTATAAATCAATGTGAAGACATGTACATTTGAGACACTTCAAGCTGTTAGACATTAGAGTGGTAAAATATGTTTTTGAACTCCAAGAGACATGACGTGACATCAGGGTTATTTCATGCGAATTGCATCATGCTTCTCTCTCCCCCTCTCTTGATGTACTAGGAATATATACTATGATTACAGGTAAATAATAGAATTCTCAGTTGCTAAACCAGGAAACCCAACTCCAGATGGCAGTCTTAAAACATAGGCTATTTTCCCTTTCAAACTGATATGCACATCTTCACAACACATTTTTTTATAGCAATCATTTTATAAAATATTTTTAAATTTCATTTTCTTTTATACATTCTATCACGTTATTTAGCTTACAAAGTGAGTATTTCAACATGTGAACATTTCTTCCTAGTCCAGTTGATAAAACTATAAAATTATCTTCAACAGATAATACCACATTTCTTTGTCTCATTAATGCTTTGCCTCTCTATTTTTCTTCTAAATGTCCGTCCTCAGACTCTACTCTTTCACACACTCTGGTATTCATATCCATAACGCTTTTTAAAAGTTGTTTATAATCTAAGCCTTCTGATAAATAGCATTCAGGTAATAATTAAAGACACTAAAAGTTACATATAAATAAAATGTAAATACCGATACTTTTCTAAGGGCACAGAAACCAAGCAACAAGATAAAATGCAAAAGCATTAAATGAAGAGTTGTGCATCCTCACACATCAGGATAACATCAAAAATGTTATGGTTCACATTACTCTATTAACTACACACTTTGGTTTGAAAAAGATCAATTTTGACTTTTATATTATATCAGGTAACAAAGCTGCAAAGTTATCAGTGATATGCCTTCAGGAGAATCATCACAAATTCATTTCCCCTCCTGTCACATAAATTAAACAGACTGAAACCCCTTCAAACACAGAGTCTAAAGAGACTAAACATCCTGTCTTCTGCTTTGCCACCTTTGTGCAGGATCTGTGCAGATCCTAGGATATTCTTGATTCTAAATGATCCCAAATCAGAGGCCTGGAGAGAGAGGTTTGAGACCTACCTTCATTAAGTATTAATTCTGACACACACAGTTCAATATTTAAAGCTTGTTCTGCCTCCATTTTCTCAATCTGACAAAGATAATACCATCTGTCCTATTGACACACAATGTTTTAGGGGACAACTAAAACAGTGAAATTAAATATACTCTGCAATCTGAAAATGATTTTTTGAATTTATGATATAAACTGTAACTCCTGCCTGAAATACCTGGCAGTGAATCTAATTTAGAAGACTAACATTGTTTGGCACAAAGAAAAAACAAGGAAACCAATTGCTTCTTCCTGCTCAAAACAAGAAAACATGTATTTCTAAGTGAGAGAAAAGGATAGTCTTTTCTTATTATCTTGAGAAAACAAACAAGAATACCTTTTAAATCTATAAATGTTTTGTACAGGAGGAAAAGAAAATATTTCTAATAGAAGAATCATTTTTACATGTCTCTAAAACAAGATATTGAATAATAGCTACTAACCGTGCTAGGATCAAGATTCTCTCTATTGGAGACTATATCCTAGCTGAAAATTAGCACAACTTACCATGGGTAACCACTAATATCCAAACACAAAATCATCATCTCAAACTTTGATTTTTATATAGGAGCAAAACATTAAATCTAAATGCTTAAAATGGGGCTGAAATACTGTATAAATAGGCACTTGAATGAAAAAGTCAACAGAAAATCCAGGTACTTACTTTATAAAACTTTATCCTACACAAGCGTTTTGTGATATTTGAACAGCATGTGAGCACTGGACTGCCTTTACCACCTATCAGCATGCACATCTATATTGTTTAGTTCTAAGTCAAGTTCTTGCCTTTACCAAAGATAGGTTATGACATAGCTTTAACTATGATAGAAATCAAGGCAGATATTTTTTGAACGGTTCCCTGCTTACAGTAAGACAACCCCAAAACTGAACACATTGGTATTAATAACCTTTTATTATAGCATCCTGAGAGCCCCAGCTGTTGATCTTCACATATCATCTCCACTGACCTCGGGCTCCAAGAACATAGAATAGAGTGAAGGGAAGATAGAGAAACACGTGTGTTTTCATTTTCTTTAAACTCTGCAAGTTAAACTCAGAGGGATATATGTCATGTTCTTTAATTACTGTCGTTCTCAAACTTTAGTGTGAGGGCTCACTCATGGAGCTTGTTAATCTGCAGCTACCCAACTTGTTCCAGATCTAAAACTGAATTTTAACTAATTCCTAAGGGGAATTCTGATGCAGGTGGTCCATGGTCTACCCATTAAATTCAACAGCCTTAGTTCATATTTCCTTTGATCATAAACCTGCTACAGGTGCTTCAAGAGTTATGCATGAGAGGATCTTTAGAAAATGCCTATTATGGGGCTGGTAGGTGGCATGGTGATTAGGGAGATGGGTTCCCACATGGGCAACTGTGGTTTGAGTCCTGGACCTAGAAGCTTGCTTTTTCACCTTCCTTTTCTGTCTCCATATGGTCGAATTAAAAAAGTAAATAACAACAAAAAATAAAATTAAATGATTCTTTAAAAAAAGAAAATGCCTATTACAAAAAAATCTAAATGGATTTCAAAAACGTTTTTGCACCAACATAAATCTGTATTTTAATTCAATCATTTAAAAAAAATTCCTATAGCCTTTAAAGATTTGGTCATGAATACAAACCATCACTACAACTAGAAGTAACAGAACTGATCTCAAAGCATGCTGGCAATAAAGTAATTATCATGCTTGTTTCTTCTGAAATGGTATTTCAACTTGCATCACGAATAGGATTTTGGTTTAGCCTCTTATTTTAGAAGTACAATGACGTAATGTCATTGATTTACAACTAGGACAGATAATTTGGGGATTCAAATAACCATCTGGGAAATTTTCTGTTTAAAGAGTCTACATTTATAGTTCCAAAAAAATTTAAAGCCACAGAACAGCTGTCTTGTTAAATGAAATTCCAAATCTTTACTGTACTAATTGTTTCTTCATCAACACTTCAAAACACTAAGAGTTTTTCATTGACACTTTCAAAATAGAAATTCTTACAAGTAGGCAGATTGAAACACTTAACAAAAAAATCTCAGAAAGACTTATGCATCAGTCAATTCAAAAATACACGGATTTCTATATAAAAAACTGAAACTATTTGCCATTCATTTTATAAAGACCAAGATTTTCTCAAAAATCATGAAACCACTGTCAGCCAATACGGGGCAACTCAGACACACTGTGACAAGAGTCATCACTCTCTCAGGAAGGTTTTTAAAAAAGTGGCAGGAGTGCTACAATACATCAAAATACTCATTTTTAAATGGACAAAGAGACCAGGGACCATCTCAGGTGTTAAGCAAACCTATCAAAGCACCTGGCCTTGAAGGATCCTGCTCTGCCCAAAGTGACAGCTTCATGTGTGTCCACTGCTTAATGTACAAATCCTAAACGCAGGGCTGCAGACCGATGCTGCAGATTATCACCTGCGCGAGGGTCGGGGAGGCTGCAGCCCGGCTCCTGCGTTACGGTGGATAAAGCCAGCTGTCGAAGTCATTTCCATGGAGTCAATTCCTCATCCGAGAGGAGTCGCGGAAAGTTTGTTACGTGGGAGACAGGTGTGAGGTGTGGGAAGAGTAACCGCCCTTTCTTTTCCTCCTCCCTCCAGCTTTCTAACACTACCTCTGGCCCAAGCCAACTGAAGTCCAAGGAAAGGGCGAGTGACAGGACAGTGTGAGGTGTGACCACAGAGCGCGGAGTCCCGAGCCGAAGCACACACGGCCCAGCCCACGGATGGAGGCCAGGGGGCGGCGGCTCCGGCCTTCGCCCGAAGAGACCGATACTGACCCGAGGACGCCGAAGCTGAGCCCAGCAGCACCGCACAGAGCAGCAGCGTCAGCCCGATTCGGACTCGCATCCTGCTCTTGCGGCCGCTGCCACCCCTTGGAGCTGTCGCCC